AAGTCTCGGACTATTGAGATCTCTTGAATACAAACTTCTTTTTTAGATTTGCCTAATGTAGAGCAGACAATAGAGTTAAAGCACTATGTAATGAGAAAATTACCATGAGGAAATAACATTTAAAATTTTTATTAACTTGTAAATGCCTCTTCGTTATGAGGGTTGAATACAAGTTTATTGTGGAAATAATGTACAATGGCATGGTATGCCGCTAACTAATTCATTCCCAGGATTACATCAAATTCTACCATGTTAATCTTTATTAGGTCCACATTCAATTTTCCTATCTGATATGTCTATGATACAAGCTTTGTATATAATCTCCCCTAGTAGTATCATACTTTCAGGAATAGACACAAATAACACAGAATCAAGTCTTTCCGGTAATATATTTAAATTTTGTGTAAAAGTATGTGAGACAAATGAATGTGAAGCACTAGTATCAATTAAAATATGTATAAGGTGATTACAGATAATGTACGTACCTTGTATTACGTTTGGGTTAGCTTCAACATCCTACTGAGTGAGGTTGTAAGCTTTGTCCTAGATAGGAGGTCTAGCCTAGTTCTGATTCCACGGGCACTCTCTCGCGTAGTGTTGGGTACTCCTACATATACAGCAGCTATTATTGAGACGATATCAGGGTCGGTCCCCATGATCCTTGCCATAGTGCTGGTAAGTCTTACCGCGTCCTGTTACTGGAGCCTGAGGAGGAGCCTGAGTCACTAGTCTAGGCCTCTTGTTCTACTGAACTGGTACAGTAGGTGCTGGTCTGCAGTATGAAATTAGGGGTCTGAGATTCCCCACTGCTAGAGGAAAGATGCGAAAATTCTTCTCCACTAGTTATGCCTTAGCTAGAATGGCTGAATAGGTACTAAGCTCAAATATATAAAGTTGCTGTCTGATCTCAAGGCGGAGGCCCCACTTGAACTTCCTTGCCTTCTTACCTTCATCCATCATGCTCTCAGGGGAATACCGGTCCAACTCTAGTAACCTTCGGGCATACTTCGCACAGTTATATCACCTTGGACTAGGTGTATAAACTCTATCTCCTCAAATGTCGGAGGTGTTCTAGGAGGTACTTTGCATTGAAGGTCATCAGGAACTGTTCCCAAGTGACAAGAATGGACGGGGTGACTTGCTTTAGCTGCCACCAGTGGCATGCCTCTCCCACAAACATGTAGGTAGCAAGTACAATCTTCTGTTCAGGAACCACCCCAAGAGTCGTGAAGGTCTTCTCTCTCTCAGCTAACAAATACTTGGCATCTTTAAAAGAGGATGCCACTGTAAAAGTAGATGGGTTTAATCTTTTGTACCTTTCAATATAGTATGGATCCATCATGGGTGAAACTGGATTATGTGGAAGAGGAACTAAATTGTACTGGAGAGGGACCAAGTGGCCCTGTGGTGGTTTCGGATGACATAGTGGAGGCATCGGGTTGTGCTGTGGCGGTACCGGATGATGCAGTGGAGGCATCGGATGGTACTACAGTGGTGTCGGATGGTACGGTAGAGGAGCAGGGTTGTACCGACGTGGCTCCAAGTCTTTCTATTGCAAAGGTGACTCAAATTGTGGCAGCGGAATAGGGTCAGACAGCTCCTTCCTTTCCTCTTGGGTCAACTGGGCAGAGATGAGTCTCTCCAGCATCTCAAAGAGTCAGTCAAAATCATCTCGAAGTAAGCCATTCCGAGCTGTTCGGTTTAGTGGAGTTCTTCATCTCCTCATTTTCTGGTACCTACATTTCACAAGAAAAGGTTGAATGATTGTATTTGGTAGTTTTAAGTATTTGTGTAAGGAATGGTTATGACGAACGCGGCTTTGATACCAACTATAAAGACCCAGAACTTAAATAAAAATAAATTTATAACTTAAATGCAAAAGCGATTAATAGAGTTAGGATTTACATTCCTTACACAATAATTTTAAATGCCCAATAGAAATACGAGAATGTCCCTTCTAAAAATAAATAGTAATTAAAGAAATAAAACGAATAGCAAATAACTAAGCATCCTATGACAACCTTCACTAGCACGTGAAGAGAGTCCGAATAGTGAACTACTCACAACCCACTTGCTGATTGGGATCTGGATCTTGGTCATCTTGATCTGAAATAGTTAACGAAATGGTGAGCAATACAACATTAGTCCAGTAAGAATTTCACACTAATCACATATACGTAAAATTAAATATTGGTAAAAATCGAACAAATAACTTATGGAGCCCTTGCTTTATTTAAATACTTTTAAACTTGAAGATATTTGTTTAATATTTACCGCAACGAGTTTTTTCCCAAAAACAACTTATGAAGATCCATATCCATACAACTTTTCACTTTCATGCATAACAGAACAAGAGAAAATAACTTTCCTTTCTTACCTGCTTATTTGTACCCCTGGGGATCCATAAAGATGTCTCTCCCTACTCGTGAATCAAATATCTAATTTATAATTGACTGGCCGTCCCCATATTCCGTCTGGTAATGAGCGCCAAATATTCTGTCACCTCGATACCTCGTTTGGTATGAGGGTGAATCATATCTTTCAAATCTTTCTGGTAAGGGACTTTCCAGCTCCGTTCGACTGAAGTAAGGTTCACAGTAGGGTTCCCTATATACCGGGTCCGTCTGCCTTTTCCCTAGGTAACTAGCAAGTCTTTCACATACATATTTTTATCAATAAAAAAACTAACAAACGCATACTAATATCTCATATTACATTCACAGATCAATTAAACAATATTTATGCAGACGATATAATTTGTCATAATAAGAGATCGAATAACCAGATAACCGAATAAACCAGATAAATCAATAAAACTATTGAACTATAAATTAAAAATATGTACTATATAAAAATCAAGTAAGTAGGACAGTACAGAAAAATAAATAAAAAATCAAGACAATTATAAACTAACCGGTTCCGGCTCCACTAGTAACTAGTAATTATTTTTAAGGTTTTCTAATTTTTCATACAAACACAAAATTATATACCGTTAAGTCTCAATTTACCGTAATGGAGAATAGGATGAAGGATCCTTACCAGGATAGGTGTTTCGAGACGTCAAACTGTCTACTACGCCTCCTGATTGGTACCGAATTTCCTGAATTTTTTCTGTAGAATCCAAAACACTCGTCACATACCTAAAAATACTCTAAAAATCCAAAATCGGTGTCCGAAACTCATTCTGGCCAATTTTGGAGTTCCAGCACGATGGTGTCGCCATGGTTCGGGGTCGGTTTCAATGCCAACGGTGATAGTTTACCTTGGTCTAGCTGGTTTTGGCTGATTTTTGTTGGTTTTGGGATTTTGGCTATAGTGGCTCTACCGAGCTTTACTTGCAGTTTCCGGCTCACCTACTGTCCCTCTTGCTTTGATTTAGTCATAGGGGTGTTCGGAATGGAATTCTGAGCGGGTATGGAGAATTTTTTCATTTTTTAGTGGCCGGCAGTAGCTCTAGCGTGGCGGCGGTCAGTGGTCGGCCTCCTTATCTAGTGTCTGGTTCTTCTTCTTTGGTAGGGGCTGGCAGCTAGAGTTTGGGCTCACGTGTGATGCAAAGTATTTATACCCATCACACATTGATCTGAACCGTCCATCGCGATCAATCTCATCCGTCCGATCGCACCTAAGGAGGAAACGAATATGAACTGTTCATCGTGATTGATCTCAGCCGTCTGATCGTGCCTAAGGGGAAAACGAATCTGGATCGTCCACATGTGCGGGATTGATCCTAGATCGTCCGATTACGAGGCATGCAAATTGCCCGCATGGCACCGACATCAACGTAGCTTGCCACACGGCATACTTCGATTTGTCAAAGCTGCCGACTGGGCTGTCTTACGTAGCTGAACTTTTTTTTTTGTATTTTGACTCCTTATTTCTAATTTTTTTAAAAAAAATCATCCGAACTCAAATTTTCACTTATTTTTTTTAAAATTATTTTCATTCTCGTTCCTAATTTAATTTTTTCTCAAAATTTTAATTAAATAAAAATAAACTAAATTAAATAATTTTTTAATAAAATAATTTAATAATAAACAATATCTCGATCCATTTTTCAGGTCCGGACATTACATATATTACCATCTTTGTCATTTTGTACCATGATATGAACATACTTTTTCTGCATTTTTCTCAATACTACATAAATATATTTACTTTTATTATATAAGAGTCGAAACTCCGACCTTTTATTTTCGTAAAAATAAAGCAATGCCACCTAATCTTAAATAATATGTCACACTTTTCCCACATTATTTCGTTCTTATTTTATTTTAAACAATGATAATTTATATAAAATTTAATAATAATTTACATATTCAATGTGTTTAATTAATTCTAAGTTGACAATGCTAAATTTATATTTTTATGTATTAAAAAAATAATTACAAAGTTTTCATTCAATTCTTTAAATCATTTATATTACATTTTAATTAATATTTTATAAAATCAAAATTTGAACCAATCTCAACCTTCAAGTTTTCATTAATATTTTTAATATAAATATGTATATGATAAAGAAATACATTAGGTGAATGAAAACTAAAAATTATTTTTTTAAAAATTGATTGAAAACAAAATAGAGTTGATTTCACTAATCTTATGCCCAAATAATAATTAAAAAAATTAATTGACCTTATAAAACAGTTTTCTGAAAATGAATTACATTTCAGTTTTTAAAAATAAAATACTTTCGAGTACTAAATATACTTAGCATTTACTCTTTTTTTAGTCAACAAAAAGTTATCCTTAGAAGAAGAACCAATAAGAAAGAGGCTCATCATATAATCTTACCAGGATTTATTAGTCATTACCTTTTTTTTGGCTTATTCATATGACCTCCAAGTTCAACATACTTACAAAAGCATCATGCTTCTCATCCACATGTATTTGCACTCACCAAACATATTAGAAGAAGAAGAATACACACTGGCTATCCTCCATATTTGCACCTTAGTTTGTACAGAATGATGTACAATGCATTAAAAATATAAACAATGAAGGAAAAGACGAAAAAGAACCATTATCAATTACTAGAACTACCAGTCACAGCTCCATAAGCTAAAGAAAAGTAGTTAGGAAACATATGCATATCAAAATCTCAGTCATGATTCAATCTGCAAGACTGGCTGGAGAATTTGCACCTAACTTGTATAGAGAAAGATTTTTTGTAATACGATCAAGATACATTAACTGCCATGACAGCCAACCAAGATAAAACCAACTAATATGTATGGAAAGAACATATATGCATATCAAAGGTGAAGAATATTCAGTCATGGCTCTTCCTTAACAAAGTAACTTTCTGGCAAGGCAAAATCCTCCTCGTGATTAAGGATTTCCATCTCCTCATCATCTGGTTTCTGAAATTTGGAAAAGATTGGTTAGCAACTACCTATTCTATGTCCAAAGGCTAAAAGCAAAAATAAGCACATGTTAGCCCTCTTCTATTTTTTATTTATTCCAGTGTAAACATTCTTGGACTTCAAATTTTAAGACAGAATGCTATGCTACTGGTTGTCTGGATTAGTAATTGTACTGACTGCCCATTTACATATTTCCACGACCGTCTATAAGATAGATTTAGTTTATGACCAAGGCCACCAGTGGCCTCATTTGCAAAACATGCATGCAAACAACATGCCCAAGATGTGTTGCAATCCTATTACATAAAATAGTTAAAAGGGAAATTTGCTAAATGTCGAGTGATGGTTGAGGCTGATCATTCAGAAAGATGGAGCAAACTATGAGTTCTGATATTAATGAACTCTTTAGAAAATAGTGTTCAGATTGCTACTTTAAAGCTCCAGTTAATCATCAATTTGTATGGTCATTAAGCTATCAATAATCATTCTCTCTCTATCATTTTTTTAAAATAAATTCTCTCTCCATCATACTGGAACAGTAACCTTAAATGTGGTTCAAATCTTTTCTTTTTTCATTCAATTTTTAAATCTTAATTGTTTGATGTGTAGAATTCAGTCATACTTTACATATTCCATGCAGAACTAAATTAACTTTATTTATCTTCCTTTTCATAATAATTAATTTGTATTCCTACTTGACAAATAATGAACCAAAAAAACCCCTAACTTGTAGACATAAAATTAAGTTGGAATCATAATGTTGTCTCCATTAATTATGCCATTGTACTGTATTCTTGTTCTTATTCCATAAAATTAAAATTTGAATCAAATTCAAGTTTACGTTGTTGTTCATATAGACTAGAAACCCATTTATGTAAAGGGAAAGAAACAACTGAAGCATTTATGTATGCATATATCATCTTAGAGAATTACCAGCATCTCTAAGTTGTAGAATCGATCCAGCAACTGCAAGACCTCATCCGCAGAAAATTGTCGGTCAAAACTGGGATTAAGAGTTAGAGTTGGACAAATGGTAAGATTGGTATCCGAACAACTGAGCATACACTAGAACGTCCTCATCCCAGGCACAGATAAGGAAATAAAACAAGAGGCAGAACAAACCTTCTCCTTAGGAATTCCATTAGACCATAAAGGACAAAATGTCTATGTATTCCTGCAAGGAATGTATTGTTAGGAGCTACTGATCTATTTGCAGATAGATTAATAAGGTGCAAAAAAAAGTTGAATCTGGTGCTTGAAATTATGTGCATTAAACACTAGGTACAAATAAAGTTAGTAGCATCTCTTTGGCAAATGTACTCGAAGATCAGACCAAATAAAAATTACTAGTAATATCTACAACAGTGTCAGATGGATTTTTTGGTTATTTCCTCAATGCAATCCCTGATTCAGAAACTACATCCAAAAAATGAGTGGGAAAAAATAACAGCTTAATCAGACACTTTATATTAAGTAATTGGGGGTAACAAGAGCTTCTTAAGAACAGCAGCAGGCAGTGTAATTTATACGGCTATACCCCTTTCACTCTGTTTCTTCTCACTTTGAAATCAAGAAATTTTTTAAGTTATCTTTCTAACAAATGAATTTGGAAAAGAACAACATGGAAGTTATTTCAAAATTACGTTCTCATCAACGTCCTGATCATAAAAACATGTATTTGCATATAAATTTCATATTTTTACTAATTCCTTTGGTTCAAACATAGTGTAGTTTTACATATATAATGCATATAAACAACAAAAGGAAACAGAGCATGTATTTGATGAACTCGCCTCGTAGTTTGGCAGGAGGATAGATTTCAAGAGCTTCTAAGAGTCTAAGCTCCAATTCAACCTGTGATTGCTCCTAATATATGAAGTAAAAAAACGTGAACTAGACAATTTTATGAAAAACATGCGAATTTAATTTTATCAGATATAATACATGTCCAGGAAATTATGTGTGAGTCTGTGTGTGTCCTTGTCTATATATGTCTATATATTTAGAGAGAGGGACCTTGGGGAGAGAGGAGGCAGAGGAAGGGGGAGCTTTGCATGGAGAATGTACAGACATGCCGTCTTGTTCCTCTTCTCTGCCCTTGCCGCCACCGGCACCCTCCATATTTGTTTCAGTTGACGATCAAAGCAAAGTGAAGAAAAGGAAGTGTTTATAACCGCAAAATGCTTCTACACAGTCCCCAATTACTTCACCCTCACCGAAAATGGAAGAAATTGTTGTTAAAGTGAATCAGTGTGGATCTTGGGTTAGTTAGGGTTTTAGCATTTTGATCCAATAAGTGAAATCGGGTGGAGACGAATTCGGTTTTGCAATTGGGCTTTTTAGGCCTTTTGCTCAATTTTTTTCATACAATTAGCTTATACTTTTTATATATATATATATAAATTATATTTATATCTCTTATATATTAAACTCAAATTTCAGTTCTGTACAAAAAATACAAATAAAAATATAATGCAGATAAGAAATAAATTTGAATATAAATAATATTATAATTTCCAAGTCAACTACATATTTAGGTCAATTATATACCAAATATGTAAATTATAATTAAGTTTTATATCTTAAGTAACTAAAATCTGAAAATAAATAAGACTAGAATAAGGTTAAAAATTATAATTACATATTTATAATAATCATATGGTTTTAAAATTAATAAATATGTTAAATTAATTAGGAATTATTAAATTTTTTTTAATTAACAATAGGCAAAGTCAAACTCATATTCTTAAAAACAAAAGATAAAAATATTAATCACCTAACAAATAATAATTTAATAAATGATTAAGAGCTCACTATAACTAACAATTGAGGGTGGTATTTTATATGGGACTAATATTTAATTATTTATTGGGTCAAGTCTCTATATTCTATATATAGATATATTATAGTTGTTGTCAAATCTTAAACTTTTATAGCATAAAAAAAGAAAAGAATATTTGCTTACATAAATATATATATATATATATTTTTTAGTTTGGTATAATTATGATTGATGGCACTGAAGTTAAAAACAAGGACAACAATGTCCCATTAAAAATTTTAATGGCCATTTATTTTTATAATTTTTTTGTCTCTACATGGAATATTATTGTAATTAAGTTGAAATTAAATATGTTAATTTAGTCAAAATATTATTATAAGTAGTTGATTTGTCAGATTAAACATTAATGTTTAAGTAAACTGTAATTTTTTTATATACTTGACTAAAAACATAATAAACTACCTAAAAACAATTTAAGTAACAATTTTTATTTTATTTTTTTAAATCAAGTCAAAAAATTTAATTATTATAAAATATTATTTTCAATAATGAATTAATTATCATGGCCATTTGTACCAATTTTTTTTTTGTAATAGAAAATTATATTGTTATTGTATAAAATAAAAAGGCTTGTCTATTCACTCAACTAACTGAATCGTAGCAACCTCATCATCAACTGGTTAACAATGTTGTTAAAAGACACACCAACTTCTTTCTCCACTTGCGCATGAACTTTGTCACCCAGCCCAAAATATACATATACATATACGTATACATATAATACACATACACATACATATAGTTTTATTTTTCATTTATTTAAATTCATTTCTCCATTATTATTTGTTACAAGTGTGAAAGTTTTGTTCTTAAATAAAGTAATTACTAACTCATAGTTCTCTTTTTATCATTATATTAATTTATTACAAATTAGTTAAAGTGGAGAAATAAAAAATTATAATTATAATAAAAATAATAACAAAATATATAATGCCTTAAAGATAGTTTAGTCTTTTTCCTATTTTAATTTATTTTACAAAACTTACTCACAACATAAAACTTCATTAGGATTACATTTATGGGTTAAATATTATTACTTTATGAGATAAAATCCAATAAAAATTTTAAGTTTGAATGGATGATAAGTGTATCAGATGATAATTAATTTAATAAATTAATTAACTCCAAATAAGTAAATGAAAATTCCAAACACAATGAACTGGTCTCCTCCTCTTATTTATGAGCTAATACTACTAATGAACTGGTAGAATCAGCTTTTTCTTCAAAAACTCATTAGCACAGAAATCTTTCTCAAGAGAGAAGTTCCTGGTTGAAACCACCAAACAAAACGCCTCTGACCCACAAATTTTCTTTCTCTCCAATCACTATCTGTCAACAGTTTCTTCTTCTTTTTCTTGCTCCATTATTGAACCCATCTTCTTCTTCTTCCTCTTCTTGATCACGAGACCAACTTTCCGTCCCTTCATAATGAGACTGTGCCCTGTTTTTCATTTCCTTCCCGCTCCAGGTTTACATAGAATCAAACTTGCCATTTAAGCCTGTGCTGTCATAAGTAAGGAACAAAACAATGGGAATGGAATTAAATACATACGTACATATTTATCTCTCGTATTTCCCCACCCAACCTCTTGTTTTCAACGTCCTCTCTCTGTTTCTATAAACCTTTTAATAGAAACCCCCCCATTTTGTTCCCCATAACCACTTTTTCTTCATTCTTCTTCCGTTTACAATGGCTTCTGTCATGCCCTGTTCAGCTTCGTCTTCGATCAGAACCACTCGGTTATCTTCGCTGTTTTTGTCGGCAAATAAGATTTTACCCAGTTCTTCTGTTGGGCTTAAGTCGCGGTCGCTTGCTCCGACGCCCACATGTTTGGCGTTCTCACCGTTGACAGAAAAGCCAAATTCTCCGTTTCCGGTTGGTGAATCATTGAAGATTTCCGGCTGGAATCTACGGCTGAGGCACCGGCGTTCACTTGATCATCCGGTGGTTTCTTCGGCTGCTGCGGATGCAGATGGTCGTGAGATTGAGATTTCTGATGGGTTGGGAGCTTGTCGTTTGTTCTTTTATTTGTTTTTAAGTGGTGTCTGTTTGGATGATGAGAAAATAAATAGAGAAAATACTTTGAACTGACAATGCACCTTACCTTTTCTTTTTGGTCTATAATCCACACAAATAAACCTGTGGGGATTTTGTTTAGCTAGTTTCCTCACAGTGGTTTTCTTTAATTTTCTTACTAGCATCCGATCAGAGACACCACATATGTGTGTATATATATCCCCTTGGTTAATACTTCTCTTTTATGTTCTTGCTGACTTTAGGTATGCCAAGCCCTCGAAGAGCTTTGGAGAGAGATTTCCTTTTCTCGTCACTGGATTCTTCTTCTTCATGTGGTAAGTTACCTTCATGTACAGTATACACTTTCATAGCGTTGTATCATCTAAACTAGATACTAAATTTAGAATAAACAATATCATGTTATCTTCATGTACGCCGGATATTCTACATTTAATTAATGTGGATTTGTTCCATAACTTGTTAAGCTCCTAAATTTACAGTTGCAGTTAAAAATCCAGTTTTTAAGGTTTGTTGTGTTTTGATGCAGGTACTTCTTGAATGTAATATTCAATATACTCAACAAGAAGGTCTATAATTATTTCCCATATCCATAGTATGCTATTCTTGCTACAAAACCTCTCTCTCTCTCTCTGCGCGCACATGCGCACACTCAGCACACTACATATATATCTGAGAAATGCACATGGATTTCTTACGTGTCTGCATAATTTAGTCCAAGACTTAGAATTTCTCCTTTCTGCAGTTTTGTATCAGTGGTGCATCTTATTGTTGGAGTAGCATATTGTCTTGTTTCCTGGGCTGTTGGTCTCCCGAAACGCGCTGTAAGTTGAAGCTTTTTGCTTCTTCTTCTGCACCCTCATGGCACATTGTTGCTTCTACTAATGACAATCAATTTTTCCTCTATAACCAGCCAATTGACAAGGAGCTGTTGCTACTCTTGACGCCTGTTGCATTCTGCCATGCCCTTGGCCATGTCATGTCCAATGTATCATTTGCAGCTGTTGCCGTGTCTTTCACCCACACCATCAAAGGTAACAAAAGGCTGACAGAGTGAAAGAAGTTTCAAACGCAGGCTAATTATTCCTTTCGGAATTCTATATGTCTATTAACAGTTGGGTGTTTTTAGTATGTATCTTGCTCATGAAAGTTTGCCTGAATTTACGAGAAAACTTGGCATTATTCAATTTTACTTGAATTATATGTAAGAGGGTACTCCTATTTGGTTGCTAAATGTTTATGCCTGTTTCTTATCAGCCCTGGAGCCATTCTTCAATGCAGCTGCTTCTCAGTTTGTTCTGGGCCACCAGATTCCCTTGTCACTTTGGCTATCATTGGCCCCTGTTGTTATTGGTAAATTCCTTGAATTTCTAAAATAACCATACAGTCCTTATT